AAGTAAAGGAACAAAGTGACGAATGGAAATTTTGAATTTTGAATTTTGAATTTTAATTTGTTTTTGGCTCCTCTCCTCTCTTCTCCTCTCTTCTCTCTCATTTTTTTTCTCCGTTTTTACTTTTCATTTTCCTCCATTAATGGAGGCTTAGACTTTCATCTAGTCCAAGGATTGAAAGAGGGCTGAGACACTCTTGAGGATCAGTTTCGTAATTTATTCAACAACAAAATCGGTTTCATCTATTCCTTCTTTCTCCTTTTGCTAATTATGATTTCAAATTGAAGTTCTTCATTTGGATTGATAATTGTGCAGTTGTTTGATGATATATTATTCGGTTGATGTATGTAATTAAAATTCTTGAAGGAGTGTGAATTAGATTTTCAGGTTTGAAATCTAAGATTAATGACATTGGTGAATTAAATTAACACAAATCGATTAGGTTCTAGAGGTTTCTGAACTTTGAGCAAATTGTGTGTTAATCGAATGCATGAGGGTTCTCGTGTAAATGCTTAATTTGAATTGAGGTTTCATTCAAATTTAATGTTAATTACTAATTTGTTGGTTGATGCATCTTCTTGGAATCCGATGATAGAGTGGTCGTAGTTCTTCTAAATTCTTAGATTATAGTTTTTAATTATTTTTAACTTTTGATTCTAATTAGTTATTCTATAAATCAAACCCTCTCTAAAAAATTTTATAATCGTATAACATTATCATCGTTGGGAGATGACTCAGATTGCATCTCTTACTACATAATTTTTATGCAATTCAGTTTTTATTAATTTGTCCGAGAGCGACACTCGCAATCAGTCTGTATCTCTTTGTTCTTGGTGATCACCTGGTTGGTGGTCACCTGATAGTGTTTCTTCATCTCTGATTGCTCGAAGGCTTTAGCCGCCACTTTATCGAAGATGGCGCTACACCTTGGGCATAGCATGACCTCACTGTCAGCTTCCTTCTTTCGAGTTAAAAAGTCCAGTAGCAAGTCACCAGCCCTTGGGAAGATTTCAGCTTCTTCCTTCTCGAAAGCGTCGAGGGTGTCATTCAAAGAGCCTTTTCCTTCTATTTCTTCTACAGCTCGATCGAATGACCCCTGTTTTTCAGCAACATCGACCATCAGTATGTCGATAGGTTCTATGAAATTAGCTTCTATTTGCATGGGATTGGAATCGATTTTCATCGGCATTTTAGTTTTTTGTTCGAATTTCAATCGTCCTTGCTTGATAATGTCTTGAATCAGATCCCTGAAACGAACACAGTTATTAGTCCAATGACCATAAATATGATGAAACTTACAATATTTTTGACCCTTTCTCTGTTCTAAAGTAGGAATCTTATGATCATCAGATAATATAATTTGCCCATCCTTCAATAAAATGTCAAAAATATGTCAACTTTAGAGACATCAAAGGCATAACTCTTATTAGACCGAGTTTTGTCCTTAATTTCAAGTGGTTTTAAAGATTGGCAAACATAAGGGGGTCCTGGTTTTAATTCAGCTACATTTACCTCATTTACCCCTAAATCGACATCTTCTTTGTCGAGATCATTCTCACTTCCTATTTCTCCTTCAGTGAGACCTATGTAAGCCACTTTGTCTTTTCGAGGAAATTTTTCTATTTTCCTAGGGACAGATTTTTCAGCCATAAGTTGCTCCAGTTGCCTCACTTTCGTCGCTAACTGCGACATGTCTCTTAGCTGCTGATTAATCAGTTTCTTTCTAATCGAATACTCTAATTCGCCTACAGCCATTTGGACTAGTTCATATTCTGGATTTTGAGTAAAACATCTCGACCTCATTTGTCAAAATCTACTTAGATAATCATCAATGGATTCATTATGTATTCTTTTTATATTAACCAAATCCATTAAGCTAACTTTCGCTTCACCAGGAAAGAATTGTTCATGAAACCTTCTTTCTAATTGATTCCAATTATGAATTGAATTCGGTGGTAAGGTTGTGAACCAGGTAAAGGCCCCCTTAGTCAAAGAACTAGGAAAGTACTTCAACTTTAAATCTTCATTTTGAGCTAAATATCCACATTCTATGGCGTATCTAGCTATATGTTCTAATGTCGATTCACCGAAATCTCTGGCAAATTTAGTGAATTTTGGGACTTTCCAGCCCCGAGGCAGTTCAGCCTACAACATTGCCTCAGAGAATGCTGAGACAAAGTAGGGTCTATTAGGATACCCTACGTCGAACCCATGTTGATTCAAAACTTGTTCGACTACATTGACAATATTTTGAGGATTCGGGTTGTTTGGATATTGAATTTGATGTCCCCCTACATTATTTTGCCTAACTTGCTCAAGTATTTCATCAGCATTCTGATTTCGAGCAATAATAAAGGGTTGATTTCCCTGGAAATCACCCTCATTTTGTCTTGGAGGATTTTGGTCAAAATTTTGACCAATTTGCTCAAATGGAGCATTTAGATTTTGAGCAAAAACTGGGGGTTGGTCCACCTGGAAATTTCTCTCATTTTGTCTCAAAAGTTTTGGACCAAAATTTGGTCTATTTCGCTCGAAAATTTGACCATTTTGACCAAGATTGGTGGCATCTCGATTAGGTGTTTGGGCAACATTTTGCCCTTGCCTTATAGGGACTTGAGGTGCCCCAAAAACGTCAGCAATTCGACGCATTTGTTCAGCCAAAATTTGATAGCTGGTATTAGTCGTTTCCACTATGGGATTCAACACAGCGGTCACTTGATGGGTCAGGAAATTGACCATCTCGTGATTGCTTTCATCCATTTGTTGCCTCATGGAATGTAAGGCAATATTTGAAAACGAGCTAGCAGGAAGTGAATCCCCACTCGAAGCTCCAAACGCAAATTGCGTTTCAGGTACTCCACCTATCGTACCCATTCCCGGTGGAATGGTATGGAGTACACCCATTCCCGGTGGAATGGTGTGACTCTGGGGTGACACGGTTGTCACCACAGGGTTGGAGTAGGTTGATACTCCAAAGATAGGCGGCATACACACAGGAGGTAAGTCAAATGGATGATCACCCAGCCTTGGCCTTGGGCCAGGATTTATGCTGGGATTGGTTGGTGGCATAGTAACCATAAATTGGCTAACTACGGGAGATGACGGTGTAGGTAACGCTGTCGTTGATGTGGGTTGTGCGGCAGTAGTAGTAGTGCCGCTTACATTTTCTGGGTTGGTATCACTACCATCACTTCTAGAATTGCATTCCCAGAACTAGAATCACTATTTCTTCCTCTATTAGCCATAATACAACGTCCGTTACGTAATATCATGCAACAAAACAATCAATCACTCAAAACACATAATATGGTCCCACCGGGCGTGCCAATTTGTTTACGGTGAAAAATGACAATTCTTAACAAATAATCCAAAGATCAATCTAGGGACTGGATTTAAGTCCTCTTTGGGTTCTTTTAAGTGTGTTGTTAACGTGATGCTCAAATTAACGGCGTAAAAGAGTATTAAGCAAGAATAGTGAATAATAAATGGGCAGAATTGAATCAAATGTAGATGTTCTTTACAGAAAAACGCTAAATAGAAAATGAATTGCAATAATTGAAATAAGCATCAAGCTGGAATTAAAATGCGGAAATGTAAATGCAAGAATGTAAAGGTGCGTGAATGTAAACGTATGACTCCTAGCAATGAACAGCAGCAACTGTTATGTCTCCTTGTAGCTGGTATCTGGCACGGTGCAGGATTTCAGCGTCTCAGAGAGTTTAGGTGCGGTGTCCGGGTGCAAAAAGTCGTCCTTTGTGAAATGGTGCTTTGGAGTATTTATAGACATGAAGATCACCACCGTTTTCCTCCTTTTGCGGGCACTTCTTAGTAACTGCCTTCAACTGTTGATGCTCACTATCCACGATTGCTTGTGATCATGCTGTTTGTTTGGGCTTCTTTCGTAACCGCTATCGCCCATGATCTCCTTTGCATAGTGGTGAATGTTGATAACTACTGGTAACCGCTTTTGAATTTTTCAAGACTCCTATCTTTCGAGTATTTCTGAGAGAAACCTAGGAGACTCCTTTAATGTTATGGTCTTAGAATAGTTTCTTCTTGACTTCTCTTTTCGAGCAGTTCTGGAGGAAATCTGGAGCTCGGCTAGGTTTGTGGACTTAGAATATTTTCTGACCACTTCCTATTTTTTGAGCAGTTTTGGGTGTTAGGGACTTGAAAACTCCTCAAAAACTCCTCGAAAAGCCATTAGTTTTTGTGGACTTAGACTATTTTCTTGCCAGTTCTATTTTTCGAGTAGTTTTGGGTGTCCGTGACTTGAAAACTCCTCAAAACTCCTCGGAAAAAAGCCTTTGGTTTTGTGGTCTTAGAATATTTTCTTGTCTTTCAAGCAATTTAGAGAAAAATCAACAATGTGACAAAAATATCATAAAATAGCTCGAAATGTGTACCTTTTAATTAAAACTAAAGATCTTAGATAATCTTCCAATATTCTCTTATGTTCAGGCTTATCTTTGGCTCCTTCTTGACCTCCAAAACTTGTTGAAATGTAGTTTCCTTCAAGATAATTTTTAACTTAGAAAATTTTCATTATCCCAAACACTACCATATTAATTTTTTATATTATTTTTAACATATTATATAAAATGGTCTCACTAAGTGAAGATAATCATGTCAAGTTGAATGATGATGATGATTGGAATAACAATAAACATTTTAATGATAATTCTACTAGTGTGAAGGACATAGGTTATAATGACATGCATTTTTGTGATGGTACTTGCAAGAAAATAACAAAATTGACAACTATTGATATGTTAGGTCTTGAATTTAGTTCAGAAAAGGAAACGTGTGATTTTTATGATAAGTATGCTTATTGTTTGGGTTTTGAGACAAGAAAAGATTATGTTTATCACGATCGGAAAGGTAATATTATCTCACGTCAATTTCTTTGTAACAAAGTGGGTGAGAGACAAAAGAAACATTGTGAGAGGAAGGATCGAAGTACTAAAGAGCCTAAACCTATCACTCGAGTGCATTGTTAAGCCATGATGCATGTTCGTCTTCATCGCCCATCTAGTAAGTGGAAAGTTGTAACTTTTAAGAAGGCCCACAACCATGAGTTAACGCCTCTAAAATTTATACACATGATGCCTAAATATCGAGGCATGAGCGATGGTGATAAAGCTCAAATTGATAACCTACAATTGCATGGTGTTAGAACATGCAATATAATGGGTTTGATGATGGGAGGACATGCGGGAGTTGGTTTTCTGAAGAAAGACCTATACCATCACATTGATAAAAAAAAGGGTAGAGTAAAAGATCGTTATGCAGTTACTGCATTATCCTATTTGCAGTCTAAGGCTGAGAATGATCCCTTGTGTTTCTTTAAGCATACTAAAACAGTTGATGAACGACTAAAGCACTTGTTTTGGTCAGATAGAGGAAGTTGCTTTGATTATCAAGTATTTGGAGACGTTATCGCTTTTGATAGTACCTATAAGAAGCACAAGTACAACAAGCCATTGGTTATTTTTTGTGGGTACAATCACCATGAACAAACTACAATTTTTGGTTGTGCATTGGTCTTAGATGAGACAATTGAGACATACAAGTGGGTTTTGAAGTCCTTTTCTAAGGTAATGTTTAGCAAACACCCTAATGCAATTGTCACAGATGGAGATGGGGCAATGCAAGAAGCTATTAAGGTTGTATTTCCAAATTGCTCGCATTGACTATGTTCATGGCATATCCAACAAAATGTCATTGAGAATGTAAAGAATCCAAAATTTTTAGAAGAGTTTAATTCCTTGATTTATGCTAACTTTAGTCATGACAGGTTTTAGGCTAAGTGGATAAGGATCATGGAGAAATATGGTGTTGTGAACAAGTGGATAAAGAAAATGTATAACATGAAGTATTTAAGGAACTTCTGTTATAGAAATTTTCATTTAAAGTCAAACAACCTTCCCTCTCATTTTCTCTCTATTGTCTCACCTTCTTTTCTTAGAGAAAACTCTCTTGAATCTCGAAATTCTTCCAAATTCGAGCTTGAACGTCTATTCTAATTGATTTCAAGTAAGTCTCTTAGAGTGTAGTTCTTTAACTTCCCTTTTTATCCTTTGTTTTCTTTTTTTCTCAAGAGTTTTCTACTTTGTAATACTAGGGAGATCTTGGTCTTTTTGATGATATTTTTCATCAAAATGTTGTATCTCTTTTAGATCTCACGCAGAATGCGATATTATAACTTATTTCCAGGTAAGGAGAGTTAATCCCAATCCCTAACTCCTACTCATCAGTTTTGGTTTACAAACCCCAACTTTTCTACTATATTTCATAGAACTCTAGTATTTTCTAAAGTTTTAATACTAAAGGATGGAAATTTTAGGCATAAAAGATCGATAACTTATTTCAAAAAATTATCTAGACAAAATTTTATATTAGTTATGAGTAAATAAAGTTTTTAAGGAGATTTTACGATATTATTAATTATTATTATTATTATTGAACTAGTATTCTACATGATGTGTTAGAAGATGTAAACTCTATGGTAGACAATTTTATTAAGACTGAGAAAGTGTGTATGCTACATTATACGCCTGATTTGAGTCTGAAGGTGTCCGACTTTCGACATATTGTATTAATCTGTATGATGTGAAATTAATTGATGATTTATTTGTATTAGAATGACATGTTGCGGTAATTTTAGATTTTTGTTTGAAAGGTGATATTTATTTGAAAAGGATGAATTGATGGAATTAATTGATGAGGAAATGTATTTTATTATGTATATGTGAATTAAACTAAGTCTAGATGTGTGAAATCTTAGACATGTTTTATTAAATCGAATGATAAGAAAGAAATAAAGAAAAATGCATTATGAGTGAATATTATGAGAAATATTGAGAAAGTAAATGTTATGAGAAATGCTAAGAATAAGTATAGATAGTCATAAAAATACACTGGGTGTGAAAGACAAAGGCGATTTTGGAAATTTGGAGAAAATGAAGGTGATGGATGCTTTCTTGATTGTGCATAATTAATTAGAATAAAAGCACCACAGGAAACACACTCATTTCTTGACCATATTTATGCCAAAAAGGGGGGGTCGAATTTCTTAGGAATGGAAGAAACGACATATACTAAGATGCAGATAGGAATGGATTCTGCAGCCCCTTATTTACCTAGTGCAACCGAATAAAAGATCGAAGTAGCCATGAGCTATCCAATAAGGGATTTAGTGAGGCAAAAAATACTCACCCTTACAACTATTTTTAGGAAATCAATTTTTGAAGAAAATTAAAGAAGATTGACTAGATCTAGAATCATATTCTCATTGAGAATTGTAAGGAAGGACGGTTGTGTTAGCATTTACAATATTATGAAGAATTGAATATTTTATTAAACTCCTAATTAAATGACAAGGTTTTGTAATTATTCTAAATGTCAATTTTTGAATTTATAATACTTTAATAAGTTTGGTTGTAAATATTAGTTGGAAGTATATTTGTAATATTGATAGTTAGTTATTTTAACTATAGATTACATTTATTTTTATAAGAATTTACTTTGCTAGAAGACAGTGATATTGTGTTTCAAATTTATATGTATATATCATGGATTATGTAAAATTTCTGAAATAAAAATTGTAGTTTTCACTCTACTTACAAATTTAAATGTAAGTTTGGATACCTTTGAGCTTTCATAAATTGAATAATAAAATTGTAAGTTTGACTTTTTTCTAATTCTTTAAACCATAAAAATAAAAGTATTTACTTCACTTGCTTTCCTTTCTATAATTATGTTACAAATTAAAATATAAATTAAGGGTGTTACAAAATGATACGAGAGCATTTCATGCTAACAAGCTTGAGATATGGGACTAGATAAATATCATAGATTAACGTCATTCATGGAACATTGTCCTTCAAAATTTGAAGAAAAATTTGACTCGAAAGGAGCTTAGAAATGGATTGTAGCTATAGAAAGAGTCTTTGATGTAATAAACTACCAAGAAGAACGTAAGGTGGTGTATGCCACTTATATGGTAATTGGAAAAGCTGAAGATTAATGGAGGTTTATAAGTCAAACCTTGCCATAGGATGATGGATTATTTACTTAGGAGACATTCAAAGCAAGTTTCTTGAGAAATCATTTCTTAGAAGATTCGAAGAAACAAGAGGAAAGAGAATTTCTTGAATTGAAGTAAGGAGACATGTTGGTGAAAGAGTATGCTGTCAAATTTTATAAGTTGATGAAATACTAGTCTCATTTTTAGCAAGAGGATGATGACAGAAAGTAATGTACCCAATTTGAGAATAGATTGAGAGTCGACGTTCGCACTTTAGTCAACATTTTTCAACTAACATATCAGCTGGCATTAATGAACAAGTATATAGCTGTAGAAGCTAGATTAAAAGGAGAGTTAATAAATAACAGAATCAGAGGATTGATGACTTTAAATTTCAAAGAAAGTCATACCCAAGTACCACTCTGTTTTAATCTAGAAGAACGACACCTCCAACGACACCTCCAACGACAACAAATAATTACTTTAAATTTTTTCGTGCTCCTATAAGATGTTTTGATGCAAAGGATCCCATGTGGTTAAAGATTGTCCTATGTTACTTTTGATATGTGACTACTGTGGAAGGAAAGGACATTTAGCAAATAAATGTCAGTCTGTATCTCAGAAAAGTGGGAGTGTAAGTAGAAGTAACAAACATGCATTTAAAAATACTAACTCCTTGGATTTAATGAAATGTTTTTGGTATCTAGGACCTCATATGTTAGGAAATTCTCCGGAACCAATGTGACATGCAACCATTGTGAAAAAATAGGACATTTAACAAATGTTTGTCGTTTTGCATCACAAAGGAACATAAATGCAAGTGGAAGCAATAAACTTGTATCTATAAACAATGATTACCTTGACTCCAGAAAATGATATCTATGTGGAGGATCTCATTTGGTGAAGCAATATATAGAATAGAAATTGTTTTTCCGCATCAAGAGAATGAAGGATGCGTAGCTCATTAACTGTGTTATGTATTGTTATTAATAGAATCTTGTTGTTTCAGTGCAACTTTGAAAATTTGAATATGATCCTTTATGGTACAAGAACTTTTCTTTTGTCTATAACTTGTGACTATGTAATATCATTGTAACTATTCCATCAATAAATCAGTTATTGTTTATATCAATGTTCGGCTATTCTGTAACCTCTCAAAGTAAATCTTTACAGTTAATTTGAATTGTCTGTCCCTTTCTCATTAAATTGGAATGCTGGGAATGGATTAGTTTTTGTCAAATCATGTTCTTTTGATACAAGGGTAAATTCTTAATTCTGGGTACTTATGTACCAAATGTTGATAGACTTTTGTCGTTAGTAACTCAGTGAAAATAAGGAAGGTAAGAATGTTTGTAACATTGTTTCCTCTTGAGAATGAAACTCTCTGAAAGTGAAAGCATTATGATTGTGAAAATGAGTTCTTGAGATTTTTTTAAGGAACTAATGGAGCTATGACATTAGGACGAAGTCAAATTCGCTATAGATCTTGTGTCAGGGTCTAGTTTGGTGTTGATTGCATCATATAACATATCAATTATAAAACCATCCGAGGTAAAATAACCAAATGGAATAATCATTATTAAAGTAATTTGTAAAACAAAACACTTATGATAAAGAATACTTGTACTTTTAAAGGATGACAACATGAAAATGTATGTGGAGCATCATCAGTCTAATGAAGTGACCATCGAGAATAAATACCTGGTACTAAGAGTAAATGATCTTATGGATTGATTGGGTGATTTTCTCGACTGGTATTATTGTAAAACTAAGGTGACATGAGGGGAACAAGTTTTGTTTGAAAGGAAGAGTATAAGATGAATCTTTTTTTATTAGAGAGAAATTATTGACGTGAATATCAAATTTTGGGCTTTACCTGATTTAGAAGTGGAAACTTAAAGTTGATGTAAAATGTTGGGAAGAGAATTTAAGCAAGACATAGTTGATTATGTCCTTGGGTGAGCAAAACAACATGAGGTAATTAACTAATGTATGTCTTGGAATTAGCGACAATGATGTTTGTATCAAGATATATAGACGTTCATTGATAGAAGTAACCGATAATCACAAAATTTCAAATATATGTTCGGATACAAAGGTTAAATGGATGATGAAATGAGTAGGTGAAACCTCTGCAGAATTACGATTTAGAGTGGTCATATCAATTTGGTAAGGAAAATGCAATAACTGCTGTGATAAACAAGAAATTATTGTACATTTCAGTGGTAATGGTGAAAGAAAAGTTAATTGAGGGAAAAGTTTAGGAATTTAAATTTAGCACTGGAAGTGTGGTATATCTTTCTTTAGAGTTTTCAAGGATTAGTAACAACCTTCTAGTGTAGTCTAGAGATGCAATAAAAAGGATGATGTAGGTACGATATGATATGATATGATATAAAGGAAAACATAAATATATGGAGTTTTATTGCAATGATTAACTGACTCATCAACTTTAGAGATAAAATATGTACTTTTCAAGTGGAAGAAATGGAATAGACAATGTTATAAAGAGCCCAATGAATATGTCAGAATCTAGTATTTCAAAAGGTTTCATTAATTATTAGGTTCATTGAAGTTTTAAGAGTTTAAAAGATTTTGGAAATACAATTGTTGGTAAGTGAATTCTGGAGACAAAATTCTTAAAAGGGTGAAAGAGTTGTAATA